GCAGTTATTTTGACGTCTCTTACACTGGGTTGATTCGCCATCTCTTCCTTCCTAAAGCAGCATCTTTTAAAATTTTCCTTCTTTTGAGTTTCCTCCTCTTAAAATGGCAAAAAAATGGAATCAAGCAAAACCCTCAACACTTCAGACGCCTAAAAATTTAACAAACGAAAAAGAAGCTGTTACTCCAACTCCCTGATATTGGCGTGTTTTGTCTCCTTCTCGCAGATCCTCCTCGTCCTGATGCTCAGTCGTGTGGACTAAATGCCCCGACACCGGTGACACTGCACGACCTCTCACCAAAGAGTGGCAAATTTGCCACTGTGGGACGCTATCCTGCCTTCGAGACGGATCGCTATCCCTGTGTAAGTGAACACCTCCTCCTCCTCCTCCTCCTCCTCCTCCTCCTTCCTTGCCATTTATTTCCAAAAGAGCTATTTATGGCGTTGTGATCACGATTTTGCTACCTTAAGGGTAATTTGATTACACAAACACCGTTGATGAAGATGATGAAACCTTCGGAGGGGCACAATAACATTGCAAAAGCAACAATTTTTTTCTTAATTTTCTGTACAAAATTTCACCCTTCACCTCAAGTGGTGCGTGAGACGGACTTGGCTGCACAATTTGCCAGCCTCCTCCACGCTCTTGGATGACATCGTCTAGACAATGCGAGAGAGGCCACTGCCTTATTTACAGCCCAAAAATCATTCCCACACTCTGACGCTTTGACGCGGCTGGACGCCTTCACAAGACCCCTCAACCAACTCACCACCTTTAAATGTCATCAAAAAGAGCGCCTCTATTTTGTGTGTGTGTGTGTGCGTGTGCACGCCAAAATTTGGGATTTTTAACTACCAGAAATGCAATTTAGTCATAAACTACATGCCCTCAATTTGATTCGCTAATGTCTCCAAATAAAATTGGGGTTTTAGTGGCTGTAGAGACACAGAAATAATTACTGGTTGGAAAAATTTTATGACTCAGTGCCTCATCCACAATCTCTCACATGTGTGCAGTTCAAAT